GGAGCACAACTTACAAGGTTAATACAGTTTTTACAGGTTATCATCTAGTCTATTCACTTCCATTTTCCTCTTTCAGTATTTTCAAGATCCAACAAAAAATGTCTGTACAAAGAAATGCTGTTGCAAGCAGACATGGCTCAGTACCTAGAAAATTTTGAGTTATCTTTATATTGTTTGTATTTACCGTCTACAAGATTTGGCAGACTAGCTTTCTCTTCTGCAGCCTGCAGCACGTCGGAGGCAGGAGACCTGCCGGAGGTTGAGCCCAGGCTGCACTAGGCATCATTTCCTTCGAAGCAACTTGTGCCAGAAAAACTACTTGGGAGTCCTGGCTCAGAAATTAAGACCTGTCCTCCCTCCTGCACTGCCAGGAAGGCCCCAAGACAGCCAAACCGACAGAACCGCACCACACCAGCCCTTCCTGGTGCCAGCTGGGCTTCCTCGGCACAGGAACTCTAATTTTCACCTCCCTGGTAAGCACCGGTGAGTCTGGCCTTCAATTTGCAGCATGATGGGGTTCATAAAGGCTGAAATTAAATTATTGTCTTTTAATTTCAACTGAATGGCTTTTTTCCTCTCCAAAGGCACCGGATCTTAATTCAGTAAAGTCCACAAGATCCAGCTTCAACAGAGCTGTTCAAAATACTGTTACAGAAGACCAGACCTTTAGTGTACGTTGTCTGAAGAAAGGAATACTGCAATACAGCTCCACTTTGAAAGTCCACATTTGCTACTTATTTAGGTAGCTGACAATTTTACATCAATTAAAATAAACACCAGTTCCATGATGCACACATCCCATTCTGCATCATCTTAGCACAGCCTCAACACTTCTAGAGAATCTTGTGTTTAGCAGCTGCCTTTAGTATTTTTTAAGTATGGCACTAATAAACCAGAAGAGAGTCAGGAAAGCTATAGCACCACATGGATAGTTTCAGACCAGCTTTCAGATGACATATTAAAGTCTTGCTAATCCAGACACTGGTTCCTTCAAAGTAGGGTTCAATATTATCATCTATAAATCAGTATTTGCTTTATAAAAATGTAATGGAAAATGCTAATAAGATTTACTTGTGAAATGAAATTGGATTATATCTTATCTATTTTAACTCAATTTGGTATAGTATTCCTTCTTCATAAACCGGCAGCTCCAATTTCTTTTTTTCTCACCCCCCGCCTTCCTCTCTCAGAATTCAGGCAGACAAATGCACCATGGATTCTCAGGCCACCACTTTTGAAAGGGAAATTATGGGGGACAGACATAAATTAAAGTAGAAAATGTAAATTATGCAATATGAAGCAGTATAAAGAAAAAAACCCCTGTAAAGTCATTAGAGTTATAATATATGTGCTGTAAGGCAGAGCGCAAGCTGGTTGTTTATGTATGGTTGGAAGTTGCCCAGCCAAGAAACTTGAAATTCAGAAAGTAATTTAGACCTGGTAATTTTCTTGTACATGCTTGGATGACTGAACAACCGCTATATGCGATGAATATCCATATTCAAAATTATGCTTATATCCACCGTAACCGCTCAGGGCTCATTGATACATTCTATTAACTGGGCACAATAAAACCTTGATTTATTCTACAGTTATCAGGTCTGCACTAAAGAACGTTCCTTTTAATAACAGTGAAACAGTATTAAAAATTGTCAGAAGCAGCAGTTAAGCGATCATATTCATGCAAATGTAGTGCAGTACCATCATCATTCTGTGTGCTGGAGAGTGTGTGTCAAGACGTCACCGTATGTATGAGACGTGGTGGAGGGACAGAGATGAAACAGGGACTGCTCGGACCCCGAGATGAAGTGATGCTTCTGCAGCACACGGCCATCCACAACCGATCAGATCATAAGGGTGCAAAAGCAGGACTTGCAGCACAAGCCACACACATTACTTCCAAGAGTATTTTCTATCGTAAGCACTACAGGTGGGAAAGGCGATAGACGTTTTGTGAAGTTACAGGATCCCTGTAAGACTAAAGGAGGTGAGTTTGGTGTGTTGGTCACGGCTTCGGTGACGCTCACCGAGGAACGAGTCGTGAGTAAGTGCAATTAAAGACGTGGTGGAAGTACCTGGCAGATGGGCACAACATCCCTGCGCCAGAAGTACAATCACGGAGTAACACCAGGGTGGTGAGGAGCAGCAGAGGCTGCGGAGCTGGTGCTGAGCCCACGCAACAGGGCGTCAGCAGGAGAATTAAGTAAGTTTGCAAAACCACAGAAAATAAAGGAATGGGATTTGTTTTGGGGGGTGGTGGAGGGAGAAAGCATTGTTCTTTGTTAGACAAATGAACAGACATCTTAAGAAATGGGACTGAAGAACACCTGACAAAGGAAACTGCCTGACCCAGGGTAATAAAATAACCTGAAGGCTTCCTCTCTTTTCTATTTCTTTCATTAAGATCTTCCCAGATTTAAACTTGAAAATAAATTTGATAACAATTTCTTGTAAAGAGTGACCAGCAGACAAACCACAGCTCTCCTAAATGCAATACTTGGCTTTTACTGATGGAAAGCTGGCCTGTCGGGGCAGGTCAACAGAGAGCAAACAGGCATCGTTCTGCCGGTGTGATCACGCGCACGACGTCCCTTTTTGAAAGGGGCTGCCCGCACCAAAGCGCTGGGAAGCAAAGCTCACCCACCCCAGCAGCACCGGCCACCGCGGCACGTCCCAGCCGCTGCCAACGCTGCGGGGCCGACGGCAGCAGGGCGAGCTCTCCCAGCATCACCCAGCTCCGGCAGGACCCTCTCCCGAACACAACAAGCCATTTTTCTGCCTGGTCAGAACAGATGAGCATCAGCAGCAGCGAGCAGATGTTCAGAGCACTTTTGCATTTCGCTTAACTGGCTAGGGGACAACATACAAATCCAAACAGAAGTGTATTAGCAATTAGCTGACTACAACAAATCATTCACATATACAAACTGTTTCATGCTGCAGCGAGATCCTAGTTTTACACTGCTTCAATTTTATTTTTGTCCCCTCCATTTTCTTCTTTAGTTATAAGAAACAAACAAAAAAAGAAACACTCTGCTTGTCCCCAGTGCAGACTTCAAAGTTTGCCTGAACGTGGCATAACGCTATGGCCAAGGACACATCCAGCTTAGCTGTCCCCAAATCGGGACAAAGATCAGCTTGGACACTTTATTCAAGTATTTACCAAGCTTGTTGGTTGCTTTAGCAGGCTGTAACATGTTTCTTACTGCAGATAGAAGTACCCTTACACTGCGTGCTGCAGTCAAACCTGAGCACCCCTTGCTTGCAGTCCACACCAAACAGGAGTGTGACCCTCTGAGCCTGCACATCCCTCGACACAGACACACTATTTCTCCCATTACCCACTTCGTTGTCCTTCTCTGGACACGCTCCAGCACCTCCATGTCTTTCTTGCAGTGAGGGGCCCAAAACTGAACACAGTACTCGAGGTGCAACCTCACCAGTGCTGCGTAGAGGGGGACGATCCCTGCCCTAGTCCCGCTGGCCACACTATTTCTGATACAAGCCAGGATGTTTGTTCCTTAAGACACCATCCACTGTGTTTTTTCCTCCTACAGAGTCTATAATTTTTAGAGCACTGCCTGCTTTCAGAAATTCAGCAAAGCTGCTGTAGGGGGAAACATGTCAATTGAGGGCAAAAAAGGAGCAAGAACAGTGATGCGCTCTGCACGAGCCTCCTCGAGCTGCTCTGCAGTTGAAGTCTGTCCTTGTGACTTGTAAAGCAGGGACTGATGGCCACAGCACATTATACCAGAGCCTCATTGCAGAAGCCTCAGGACCTGCAGTCAGAGCCAACAGCCTGTGTGACCAAGCAGTACAGAAAACTGCCTGCGAGACCCAGCATATGATCCAGCTATTCTGTAAGCGTTAGCGCATTGACCCACCACGTCCCAGGACAGCACAAACCACAAGTACCCTGGTGCCATGTAAATGTGGCGACTCTGGTTATTTTGAATGTGGGAACGTCCCATAAATGCCCCGGTAGCACAGGTAGCCCCATCAGCAACCCACCTCCCCGCCTGCCGCGTCCGGCTCTGCAGCGACCAGGGGACAAGGGGCTTTGCTACCTACAGCATATCAACAGAGACAACATCTGTGGAGGGAGACACAAAGCTGAGATCTCAAAAAATTGTGGCCAATACAGATACCACAGCAATTTTCAAACCAGGAACAGTTACAAATTACAAGCTGGGTAATTGCACTTAAATTCATAGTTAAAATGAATCAGAGTAGTTATTCCCATTTTTTTGTTTGTTTGTTTTTTTTTAAAAAAGGTTGGCAGGAGAAAGAACACTGTTCTGAATGTTTCACATCATACCAAGTGCTAAACCAAATTCAGTTCCAAGTCAGAAACACCTCCTCAGTGTGAGGATCCCAGAAGGTCAGACCTGGTGGGCTGCAGGGACAGTAACAGGCTACCTTGGCAGTTCCACCCGGGATCACTACAGCAGAACTGGGCAGCCGCAAAGTCCATCTTGCCTTCACACTTGGGCAACTGCATGAAACTATTTGTTGCCTCTCCTGGGAGGACCTCAAATTGCCACAGAGATCAATTGCCATTTAATCTCCCAAATAACTTAAAAACAATTTCTCATCTCCTTATGTTATTGCACAGCCATAACAAATTAAATCAGAAACGCTTCTGTCCCACAACCACAGCAGTCCTTAGAAGTTACTCAGGTAATTACTCAGAAAATGACTCCAAAACCTGAGTCTCAACACCACAGCCCAGCGAGAGCACCTGCTACAAAGCTTGTGACAGCATGCCAGCACTGCTGTCCTGACAGACAAAAGGAGAATTTGAACCTTAATCTCATTTTACCTTCCTTTGGTGAGACTAACTCGTACATCAAATAACACAGGTCATTTTGATACTGTCATGCAATACCCAAACACACTACAATTTCACCACAAGCAGCAGTTCAGTGCATTAGACTTCTCTTCTCAGCCACATCCCTCTTCTCCATTGGATTTAGTGATTAAAAAACAACATGACTTACAGTTTACTGTGACTTTTACTTTTTTCACGTCTGGGACTGAGACATCGTTTTCTGCACTGCATTCATATTCCCCAGCCTGGTCTCTTGTAATTCCGTAGATGTCCAGGTACTGTCCGCTCTCAAAGGGTTTTGCTGAAATGAAATAATCAGAGAAAGAAGTCACTGGAAGCTGAGCACAAAACACCCAAAACCTCACCAACAAGTGAGCAGGAGGGTTTTGCTGGCTGCTGCAGATAATACACAGCCAAGGGGAGCCAGGCAGCTCTGCCAGCTTTTGCTACAAAACCCCAGCTCCAAGCTGGGCTGCAACACCCCCCAAACTCCTGGGTTGGCCAAGAGTCTTCTCCTGCCCCGCAGTCGGGCTCAGCAGCCTCCAGAGCCACAAGAAGCCATTTGCTAGCCCAGCTCCATACCTGATGGGCTTCACAGAATATACTGCATGGTCCCCAGTCAAAACCTTGCCTTAAGAGTCTCACCGTCCATTAGGGCTTATGGTTTGCACCTGGGAGGAGACCCCTCCCTGGCAGCAATCAAAGCCAGCTACCAGGGCGAGCCAAAGGGAGAAGGAGCTCAGCCGACCCAGCCCTGCTGCCCTTCCCATCACAGGGGCCCTCACTTTCCAGGGACCCTTCACCCTTGCAGCTGCGCCAGCTGGACGTGGAGGGTGGTAAACCTCATCAGCTGGGGTTCCCTGCACCCCCAGGGCTGCCAAAGCCAGACCTGTCCCGGGGGAACCACCTCTCATGGGTGCCCAACGGGTCACCCCGCATCCCTCTGCCGGGGAAAAAGCCCTTTTGGGCTTGCTTGCCACACCGCTCGGTGCTTTCATCTTGTGCCCTAATAAACATTCCATCATATTAATTAATAATTAAATAATAGCTCTCCTCTCCCAGAGGACCAGAACCCAAGAAATGAGGTCCTCGGTGTTTGCCCTGTTACACAGAAATAAGGACAGCCAGTGTGAGCGCTACTGAAAATAGGTAGAGGTCTATCTGACGTAAAACAAAATGAAGGTTAAACTGAAATATTTGTGTATGTAACTCCTTAGTGCATTGTAACTGAGAACATTAATTGTTTTAGAGAGCAAGAACAATTATATGATTTGAGAGCTAGTTTATCTCCACTTGACATGGAGTCATAGCATACACAGAAATTTGTGTAGTTTTCTAAATCCCAGCACCTCCCAGCTTTTCCCTACTGTGGTTCCTGCCCTGCTATGAGCCCTCTGATGTCCTTTGGATGAAAACTGCTACCTGGGTCGAAGTTCGTCTTTCTGTGTCTTTTGAGCAGTGCACTCTAGGTGGGGAGAAAATTAATTCTTTTAGATTCCTCACAAGGCATTTGCCACATAATAAACCAAAAAATGTTAAATGTAACTTTTATCTTAAAACAATATATCATAGCAGTCATGACTACAGACGCTGGAAATTATAGGCCTAAAGGTTAAAAAGATTTGCTGAAAGTGTTTTCCCAGACAGACAAGCTTTTAATTGACTGTTAATAACTTTGCAACTTATGGAGCAATGACAGAAATCTGAACTAGGTAGTGAGAACTAAGTAGAAGTATTATGTTCATGTCCATCACAGCAGTGAATTTCATTTGCTTGTCTGTTCACGGATTAATCTTTTAAAGTGTGCAAGGTTCAAAACATCAATTATAACAGTGCATCGCTTAGCAAGATAGCACTCATTAATAAGCACAATATACCATGCCTGTCACGCAAAAGAGCCCAAGTAAGCACTGGTTATGTAAAGTAGAAAGATAAGACTGAAATTGGAAAATTATTGTGAATTGAAGTGAACATTCATAAAATGCAATGAAATAATTTATGGATATCAGAAATTGCATGAGAATGAATTTTTTTCTCTTCCATGTTGTTCATAGGAATAAATTACAAAAAAACCCTTCCACAAACAAACCAGCTCTGTTACTGTTCACATGGTGGCACTTGTCCTGCTCGCTTTGGCCAGGCTCAATCAATTTCTAGGAAAATTTTATTTACTATTGGTTTGAACAGCAGCGAAGGAAGCAAAGCCCCTGCCTGCACAGGGGCATCTGCCTGGGCAGAGGAGAGACCTTCCAACAGGATTTCTGCTTTGTTTCTAATACCAAGAAAATGATATAAAATGCAAAATTTTCCTGTGTGTCAGGTTAAAAATTACTTTTAAATTATGAGATTGTAATGCTCTCCAATGTCAGTACTTCCCTGGATATATGGTATGTACACAATACTGTATACTGAATTCTGGGAATTATTTATGATGTATCCTATGCCAATTCCCAACATAAATTTAGGAAAAAAGAAGAAAAACATATTACCTCCAAGTACCTGGAATTTCATAAGAAGAATTATTTGTGTTTTGGAGTTAAGCTAAAACCAAACATTCTCTGCTTTAAACTTTCAATACAAACGTAACACCAGGGGATAACCTAGTTTCTTGCCGCCCAGCTTTTGCTTTCTTAACAATTCCTGGATTGTAGCTGTGCTTCTGGCAATGCTTTTGCCACCTGAATGGGATAAGGTTCAGCCTCAGCCGGGGTCAATACAGCCGCCACCCCGCACTGGCAGAAGTGACAGGTTTACGTATTCGGCACAATTCCGCTACGGCATGAGCAACGTCAGTTCTCAGGTCTGGCAAGCAGTCACCCGTCCGGCTGCAAAATACCAACAGGAGCGATGTCTGCCGGGAAAGTGAACGCGCATTCAGGTGCTGACACCAGCCAGGACAGAGAGGGCAGCAGCACAACAGATTGCTACCGCTCAAATGCATCAGTGCTGCTGGGGGGAAACCTGGTGGGAGTTCCCACAACAAATCCCCCCCAAACAGGGACCTTATGCTGAGCTATTAACCTAATTTATGCTGCAAACTATGCATGCATTTTTATAGTGCTGTAAACCCCATGTATTTTATGCAACTCACATACACATTTGGAAATATTACAATTAAGTCATTTTTAAACCCTCATGTCCCCAGAAATTTTGCATCTGGCTCACATAAGAAAGCTTTTAGTAAATATTAGAGATAAATATTTTTCTTAGGGAATACAGAGATACCACACTTCATCTTTCCTATTTGTCTGCACAGTATTTCATCTTCTTCGGCTTGTTTTTTGTTCTAGAGATGTCCCATGGCTCTGTGGGAGAACTTAAATAGTGTTACGTGAAAGATACATGCGTAAGTATATGTAAGTGTATTTATGTTACATTGCATGCACATCCAGCTCAAAAAAGGACATTCATAAGCAGCAGGGAGAATAAATTGTGTATGAAGACACTGCTGAATGAAGACGAGTTTCAGGAGACAGCTCAGTTTTCTCACTGTTTTTTTCTGTGGTGTCTTACAGCCAGGGGTAACAGCACCTTGCTCTGCCCTTCTGCAGACCATGTGCATTTTGCGGGCCTTTCAAGATATCAGGAACATGCCTGGCTGTCTTTTCTGGCTGTAGAGCCAAAAGACTTAGCAGACTTGGTATGTGAGAAAAAGAAATCTGGAAAGTTCATTAGCACCAGTCCATCAACCTGAGGTTGTGTCAGCTAAGATCTTTGATCAAAGATGGGAAAAAACTGTAAGCTGAAGTAAAAGAAACATAAACATGAGAGTGCCTCAAGTCCAAGGCCATTCCTGATGGGTATTTCAGAAGATCTCTTAACTAGACTTACTGATACACGGTACTGACATGATATGTCAGTAATCTGCTCTGGATATATCTTAGGTTATAGGACCAGGTTCTCTAGCCAGGAAGGGAAACACCTGTGAAACTAAGCTTGAATGCCTGTTTCCTGCTACTGCCATGTGATATGATGCCTGATAAATCATCACACTTGTTATTCCTCAGGAGAGTACACAGTTAAAACTGTGGTTTCTTACCACACATATGGTACCTGGCATCAGGTGTAGCACACGTACGCATTGCCATATGGACCAGTTCTCAAAGGCTTGGACAGATGAGTTTTGCAAGGGTAGCATTTTCCTCCCCTGGTGTTAAACATAAGCCAGTAAGAAGAAAAATCTGGTGCAAATCCAGGGTAGCTCTGAAAAACTCTGAGGACTTCATCTGAGCCGAGGGAGATTTTTTTTTTTCCCCTTATTCACTAGGCTATTAAATAACTACAATATAGCCCCAGTTTATGAACTGTAAAACCTGTTCAGTGCTCAGGACTGGCTTTTATGACCCAATCTTTGAGATACCTCATCCTCCAGCAGAGAGTGAAAACCCTCACAGGGCTGGGAGTGTGGAGAGCACACGGCTGAGCTGACGCCAGCCCTGGTTCGTCGCGGACTCAGGGCATTTCGATGGTGCCCAGGAGAGACCGTGCGGAGCCGAGCGAGCTGCCGCCCAGAAGAGAGGGGGTGCAGAGATCCCAGCTCATCCTCACTTATCCTGCCCCGACGATGAGAACTGGGCTCCGGATAAGAGAACAGAAGGCGGTCTCCAACGACGATGTCATCATGATGCCATCTGATTATCCACAGATGCTTTAAGTTATCCATAAGGTCCTTCTTGATCTCAGGGGCTGGGTGGAGGTACAGGATCAAGGGATCAAGGAGGCACCTTTCTTTCCGGCAGACGCGTTGCTGTGGGATGCTGAGAGCAATCTAAACAATTGGATTCACCCAGAAAAATGATCTGAAGCCATTTCTACTACTCATTATGAATTCTGGGTTTAAAGTTACACCAAGTGCTGTAATTGGATAGTCCTCTCAGAGGAACTGCAGGTAATCTGAACAGCTCGTCGTCTATTAGAATGGCCCTATCACATTAGGGACCGTTTAAACATTGATCACTGAAGGCCATTTAGCCTTAGAGAAGCCACGCTCCATGTTTGAAAAGAAAAATCAGATAAAACGTAAAGAAAAAAAATATCCAAAACTGACAGATAAATTGAGGGCCGGAGGAGATCTCCCAGCTGACGACACGAAACAAGAAAAGCAAGTAGAGCAATTCTGTAAGAAAGGCATGCTGATAAAAGAGATGTGAACATAGACTGACAAAGTTGAAAGTTTCAGAGGTGGAGACAAACAGGGGTACATCTGTATGTGAAATACATAGGTACAGAGACAAGTGTTTGGAGAGCTGGCTGTGTGCATGCTCATAGTGGGGGCAATGTAAATGTCAGCCAGTTATCAAG